AGGGCTGCGCTCAGCCTCCCACTGCTGGGCTGAGCTCCATGGGGCTGTGGAAATGCTTAGAGCACAGCCCTGGCTCTCCCCTGCCTCCCACCACCAGGCCAGACGAAAGGAAGCTGCAGGTCCAGGGATCCTCACCCCTAGGAGGAGTCTGGCACAGCCCCACAGCCCTCCCAGGGGTGCAAGCCCCCAGATCTGTGTGCCGGATGACAGCAGGCTGCTGCTATTGGCACTTGTCACAAGTTTTGCTTTGAACAGTTTGAAGTGCAGTTCCTGAGAAACCTCTGCACCTATCTCCTTGAAACTTGGCAGACTTCATGCCCTCAGAAGGGGATACCATCCCTACAATTTTTATCTGAAGAAGGCAAGAAATGACAAAGTTTTAGCCATTTTCATGATTCCCCATTATAGTCTATAAGCAAAACATTGAAACATCAAAACAGTTTCGATGAAATAAAACAAGACAGTACTTCCAAATGAAATGAAACGATGAAATGAAACACTGTCCCTTTGAAACAGTGAAATAGACGTTGAAACAAAACAATGGTGTTTTGCACAGCCCTAGTGCCTACCACAACAAGGCTCTGGTCCTGTGCTAGGTCCTGGACTGGGTGTTGCTGTAATACTTCCCCCCCACTCCCCCAGCTTTCCATACTGTAGCTATCATGATCCATGAATTATGCAAGAGGCAAGGATCTGGGGGGCAATATCTTTCATTGGACCAATTATGTACTTGGAACAGTTACACAAGCTTTCAAATGCAAGGCATTCTTCATCAGGTCTTCATGATAACTTGATGCAATCTTCATCAGGTCTTTATCAGGGCTTGATGAAGAAAATGTTGCATTAGAAAGCCTGTCTAACTTTATTCCAACTTTATTCTAACCAATAAAAGCTATTACATCCAAAAAATCCTTGCCTCTTTTTAAAAGTAAGGGTAATCTGGGTGGGAAATGGTGGGAAATGACCCTAAACTAATCATTCAGCCAATCATTTATAGATCTTCTTTAGCATAATGACAGAGCTCAGTATCAAGGGCACTATCACAATACAGCAAGTCTGTTCTTAAAGAGATAGTAACTGTTGCTTTCCTTTAGGCCTGCTATTTTAAATGAATGTAAGTGTATTTAAATAAATAATCAAACCATTTATATTGAACCATTTATTGATACTGTGTTTTGAGTGGATAAGCTTTTGTAATTAACATTGATCTTCCAAAACAGAAGTGTAACTGCCCTTAGAAGAAAAGTTCAAATACGCAATGGATGGATGTACAGTGATTGAGTACATGAGCTTGACACATTATGCATGCGGCTATGTACTTAACATAATATGCCTATATATGCCCAAGTTACTGTAACCACACGATGTCTATTAAGAATTCACAAGAAAGGATAAATACAGCCTTGGAGAATGAATCAATCTTAAACAAAACACCAATACAATGGATGGCTTAAAACAACATTGGCACCCACAGTGCCCATGAGCTCTGAACGGAGGAAATGTTTTGCATAGAAGGAAGCTAGTCATTGCTGGCAGCAATGTCTGAGTCTGCCCCAGACAACTGTATAGACTTACACAGATATAACCAAATAAGGTGGTAAGGATTGCAAGCCATTTCCTAACTATACCCAAAAATTGGGAACGAACATAAGGTAAATGGCTAATGTTCTAGTTTTCTCTGCAGCTTCGCAAAGTAATTTTGAAACTTTACAAACTAATTTTCTCCCACAAAGAGCTCAATGGGAGCTAAGAATATGTTTATACCATGAACAACGTGTGCCCCCAGTGGCTGGGGTGGCATGGCTGTGCTGGTGGTGGCTGGGGGGGCACAGTGGTGGCGGGACGATGGTGGCGGGAAGCGTGGAGCTCCTGCAAATGCTGCCAGCACTGCCAGAAGTGTTTGAGTAGCTACCATTGATGAGTCTGTCCCTATGCATAATCCAGTATTTCGGGGTGGGAAGTCTTCTCTGTTAATGGCTCTTCCCTTATAGTTCCCAGCTCACTTCTATGATGCTGTCAAGTCAAGGACTAAGATTCTTGTGTTCTCTTTTGCTGTTTAACACAGGACTGTTTCTGGAATATATGGTCAGAGGAGAC